CGAGGGAAAGTTGCTAGTGGGAGACGCCGTTCGTTGAAAAATAGGTCTCTCCTATTTTCCCGTAGCTGGGACAAAGACTGTTTGTTTGAAGGACTTTAGTTAGCTAAATCTTAGGATTTATAACGGGCTCTCGGGCTAGCTGAACATGTACTGCGGAGACGCATCGACATCTGGCAATCATCTTACTCGAAGAATAGGGTCTGCGTGTGGCGAGCTACGGGACAGAGACCGTTGGAATGTTTACTGTCAAGTGTTACAACTATTTCCTTTTAAAGGAGAGCTATAGAATTACTGCATGCCTTTGTTAGATAAAGCGTTCATCCCGTGACCGCGGCTACGTTCGGCGACTGGCTGTCACCTCGAGCCCAAGCTCATTATCACAAATCTCGAACAAATACAATCGGATCGAAGGACGACAATTGTTTAATTACGCCTATGATAGAATCTAGATTACGGTGTTAAGGGATTTTCCCGAAGTTCCAAAGGGAAGGCTCCGTGTCCTTTCATCTCTGACATATATAACAGAAATCAATATAGTATATATATAGGCATATGATTGGCCAAATCAACCGTGGTATTCTCTATTTTTATAATCGGTGCTAGGAGATTGAAATGTGTCCGAGCCCGATGATAACCTATTATTATCTCCATGTATAAGGAAGGTACATCCACAAGCGAGCTAATAACATTAATTGCGAGCAAAGTATTAGAGAAGCCTTCTTAAGGTGAGATACATCTATGGGAACAGCTTAAACATTATTAACATTCTTGGCGAAAGCTATAACAAAACAATATTAATCACCTTTGCATCGACGGTGACAATTTTGTAAGGAAAATGGCCCCAATTTTTATTCACCTTCAAGCAGTATCCCATTCACCTCGTAGCTAATGGAAAGCCTCAAGAAGAGGATATCATATGGCAATTAGACACCTGCAAATCAGTTGTAGCGCTCATTTTACAAGATAAGATTGGAGCGGGATCAACGGTTTCAAGATTCTTAGAAGATCTAGTGTAAGACCAAAAAGAACTGAAGTACTATGCATTCCTGAAAAGAAGTCGAATAAAAGAAATGCAGATGTGATTGGACAAAGTAGAAGAGATAGGTATCTCACATATATTTTCAGCTTTAACGCCTAATTGGTGGAAACACTCGCTCATATCAAACAGATCGTGTAACAAAGAGAACGAATGAATATACTAAGATTGAGTTAGATAACAAGAAGTGAGCAACGCGACGAATTAAAGCATTAGCGTAAACATAAAATTCAGAATGTTACTATTAATATTACGTAAAAATTTCCTTATTTTCCGAATATGTTAAAAAAAAGTATTAACTACAACTCTTTATGACATTATTGCAATTTCATGTGATATATGTAGTATAATGTCATACAGCAGCATAACCACAGAATATTTATAATAATACAAATATTTATTTATTTATTTATTTATATTTATAGAAATACAAAATATTTTTAACTAACATTTTAAATTGAAAAATAAGAAAGCAGTATTAACATTTCAATAATAATTTAATTTATTAATATCAAAATAAATAAATATAACATGTAACTATATATATCTATTAATATAACATATAATACAATATAAAATAACAAATATAATATAATACAATATCATATATGTAACAAAAAATAAATGCTCTCTTCGACCGTTCGCGGAGAGACGCGAACGCGAGGGAGCGCGTCAACAGGAATTGTAAATTCCCGTTACGATTGTACAATTGACACCACGAAATGATCGATCTCTTATTTCGTTTAGGATAATAGAGGTGGCTGAATTGATTACAACACTGAGGTGACAGGTTATAATTTACACTTCATTCCAACAACTTGTAGACAAAGTTCGCTGTTGAGTGCCGAAGCGTGCAGACGTGTCTCTAGTGCCCAGTGTAGTCCGAAAACAACACGTGTCGTTCAACCGTCGAAAGTTTTTTTTTTTTTATTTATTTATTTGGATTTTACAATTTGTCCAGTAGGACATTTGGTAAAATATTATAGCGGTATGCTAATATAACATGTGGGTGGCTACCCCCAGCGTGGTACCATCATCGTGTTTGTTGGGTTATGTCCTTTGTGAGATCTGTTGGGTGTTTCCTTTTTAATCTTCTTTTTATGCTTGATGTGTCGACCGTTTCCGCTGCCAGCCGGTTTGCGTGCGTTGCTATTCTTTCTCCGTACCTTCTTGCACTTTTGTTAATCTCCTCCTTGACCGCTGGTATTCTCAGGTCTTTTCGAATGTCCTCGTTTCTAACGTACCATGGCGCGTTTACTATTGTACTGAGTATTTTAGATTGCGTTGCCTCTATTTTGGTTATATGGCTCAT